TGAAGGGGGAGGCTCGGTGTTCAGTTGAGGGGCGCTAATTTGCAAAATAAGGTGATTTTAGGTGATTATTAACTACTTGACCATGATTTTTTTGGGGGGGCGTGAGTAATTTGTTTTTTCCCCGTAGATACGCCACTGGAAGAAACGAAATAGCAATGACAAAAATACACAGTAAAAACAGCGTGGAGCATTTAAACACAAAGATCCACGCAATGTTGTCCCTTTTTTGGTGACACGTTTAAAAGCTAAACGTGTTTAGGCCAGGCCTGTTTAAGTGTCTGACGTGTAATGTGCCTAGGTATTTGACATCATGATGTCAATTACTAAGCACATTTATTGCTAAACACGTCAAGATCCTAAGCACATTAAGATATATCTAACACGCTTAGATTTTAAACGTGTCACCAAAGACTGGACAACATTGCGTGGAACTTTGTGTTTAAATGCTCCACGCTGTTTTTACAGCGTATGGCATTACATTGTCTATGACACGCTCACTGAACAATTCTAGTCATTAGTCTCTTCCAACGGACGTCTTATCTGTGGTTAATAAACATTAATTTACCTACTCATAGCCTACTCGGAAATTGTTATAATCAGTGCACAAATGAAAAAAAAATAATTAGAACAAAATCGATAGGAAGAAATATGATACACTTTTTAAAAAAATATTTGACTACAAAGTTATTTACGTTTTTAAGTAGAATAGTCAGTATTACAATACGATTGTACAACAAATCAACTCAACTCGGATTTTAATACTAGTTTCTTCAGCTATCAAAAAAAAAAAAAAAAAAGAGAAAGTAACTGGCTCGCCAGGGCCGTATCCAGGATTATTAATGGTTGGGGGTGGGAGGTGCTTGGGTGTGGAAAGGTAGACCAGCTGGGGTTAGGGGACCGATTCGGTTGGATCACAGCTTCGATTGTTTATTCTGTGGTTTCCTTAATGTACATATACAGGCCTAACGATAGATTCATGGTTAAAATGTAATGATTTAATATTTCTTTGCAATGTTTACAAAAACACTTTTCTTTCTTAGTTTGCACCAGTACCCTACCAAGAGGAACTAGCCAATGATATTGGCGTGATACCGACTCTTGATATGTTTCTAACTGACCCTAAACTTGCTGTTAAGGTATTTTTCGGACCAGCTTACCCGCCATCGTACAGACTTCAGGGACCTCATGCTTGGGCAGGTGCAAGAGATGCTATCATGAAAGGCTGGGAGAACACCATTAGTTCGACAAAAACAAGACACATTTCTAAAGAACATGGTGTAACGGGTCATATTCTATTTACTGCAATTTTTCTGTTCTTTCTTATATTAGTAATCTTGTTCTAAAATTAGTTTGCGTATGAAAGACAGTATTTTAATTAGTCCAGAGTGGTTTAAATAATATGTAACACGTGATCATATATGTTTTATACGCATAGTATGAGCAAATCGAACAATCATTTGGTGATCATTACTAACTAAACTAACAAAATCCTTTCCAGCAGTTTGCTGGTACCCATTGACACAGCTGGGTGGACTGAAGCAAATGTAGCTAAAGTGCCTTGCCCAAGGACACAAGCGAATCTGCACAGCGGAGATTCGAAACCCCAACCTTACGATAGAAAGCCCAAACCTTAACCGCTGCGCCAAACTGCCGCCATTTGTTATGGCAAATTATGGCAAATACTAAAATGTACAGAATTGTGGAACTATGCATAATCGACCTGTTGATCACAAATTCTTTTTGGTTTTATAATCATAGTTTGCTGCGTACCATGTTACCATAAACATATATACATATAATTACTGTAAATTTTACCCCGCATTGTGATAGAATATATCAGCTGTAAATGGCACTGGCGTAGCGGAGGTGGTATTCAATTATTCAAAATTTCAAACATATGTTTTTATGATCTCCCTAATTCGACAAAGTAAAGTAAACTAATTGTATATATATATATATATATATATATATACATATATATATACATATACATATATTTGTGTTTATATATATATGTTTATATATACTGTATATATATATATATTTGTGTTTAAATATATAATATATATTTGTCTATATATGTATGTATATATTTATATGTGTATATAATATGTATATAAGTATATATATATGTATATATAATATAATATAATATAATATAAATCAAGATAGCCGCTAACATAGTTAAATTATATATAGATCATCCAAGAAAGGAAAATACAGTGTTCGAATAAAGGACATCTATGTTTTTTACTTTACAGTTGATACCAATGGCCTTAGATATTTTGTTGCATACATATTTAATGTGGGGTTTCCAGCTTAAATTTTCGTTTATAACAATACCTAAGAATGTGACGCTATCCATTCTTTTTAGGTTTATACCAATTATTTCGATAGAGATATTTTGTGACTGTTTTAATATGTTTTGTGGTTGGAAAAAACAGAGTTTGTTTTATTTATATTTAAGACAAGTTTATTTGCTTTAAACCATTCATTAAATTTTGAAAGTTCAAAGTTCAATGTATGGATTAAATTAGTAATATTTTTAGTTGAATAATAAACAGTGGTATCATTTGCGTAAGAGCTTACCTTAACTACATTGCTAACATTGCATAGGCCTATATCGTTTAATACATACAGTATAAATAGCAAAGGGCCTAGAATCGACCCCTGGGGGACCCCACAAGTAATTTCAGATAGTGATGATTTTATATCATTTATGCTGACAAATTATTTTCTGCCTTCTAGGTAACTCATGAACCATTTCAACCATGAGCCCCTTATACCGTAATGATGAATCTTTTGTATCAATATATCATGATTCATTACATCAAAAGCTTTTGACAGGTCCATAAAAACACTGGCAAGAAATATATTTGATTCAAAAGATAGCTTTAACTAGTTCAAGGATGGCATGCGAGGTGGAGTGTTTAGCACGGAATCCGTATTGGTGGGGGTTTAATAATATTTAGTTAGGTAGTCATAAAGTCTATCGTGCATTGCCTTCTCGAAAATTTTAGAAAAAACAGGTAGCACAGTTATCGGCCGTTAATTAGTAATTTCATCATGTTTTCCTTTTTGTAAATGGGGATAACCTTAGCAATCTTTAGTTTATCGGGAACAATGCCAGTTTCAAAAGAACAGTTTATAATGTGGACTAGGGGGCTTACGATAATATTTGAAATCCTTTTTATTATTTTTGGAGATATATTATCATATCCGGAACTCTTATTGTTGTCTAGATTTCTGATTATATCAGACTATTTCTTTAATTGTAACAGGTTTAATGTAAAATGAGTTAGCTTGCCTTTTTTTAAATAACGTAATGGATTGACATTAGAGTTTATATCTTTGCATAATTGTTGTCCGATGTTAATGAAATAATTATTAAACTGTTCTGGTATTATAGTAGGATCTGTAAATGTATCATCATTATGTTTAATGTATAGGGAAATTTTAGCTTAGTCTTATTTGGATTTATAACAGAGTTTATTGTGTCCCAGGTTTTTTTCATGTCCCCATGGCATTTTGATAATCCGGATATATAGAAGTCCCTTCTTGCCCTTTTACATAACTTATTATACACGTTACGGTATTTATCATGGTTTTCTTCGTCCATGAGGTTTTGCGACTTTAAGTATTTTTTATAAAGTTTAAGTTTCTTTTTGCTAGATTTTAATAATCCATTTGTCATCCATTTTTGTTTAAATTTACTTGAATTTGTTAGATCTTTTTGTTTGACATAAAGATACATCGTGTAGCATAGTTCTCAACGAATGTTGTCCTTTAAATAAATACACTGTGTTAATAAAATGATTTCTATGGGATTCGAACCTGAGCCCTTGCTGTCAAGGCGAGCGTCATAACAATTAGACCACAGAGGCTTCATGATTGAACAGATTCAAATAACCGTCAGGTACATTGTTACACAACTGTGTGCCTCGAAGGGGCGTTAAACCAGATAAATCTTGAGGTACGGCTGGAATAAGAATAGTAACATATAACATAAATCAAGATACCCGTTAACACTGTTAAAATATAAAAATAATAATAATAATAATAATAATAATAATAATAATAATAATAATAATATTAGTATTATTATTATACTATGTACAACCATAGTTTGCTGCATAACATGAACATATATAAATATAAATACTGTAAATGATACCGCACATTGTGAGAGCGTATCGGTTTTTAATGCCGTCATAGACATTACTTTTCTTTCAGTACCTGACTTTAGCAAACCTTACATTTGGTTGCAAGTTAATAATTAAATATACAATTTAGGCAATTTAAATGGATTTGGATTTGTTTTCATTTTTTTTCTCATGGCAGACAGTATGTACATCTATAATGTACAGGTATATCAGCTGAGTAGGTTTTTTTTTTTAAAAAAAGCTTTCAAAGATTTCATATTCTTAACTATGAGAACACGGGCACACAATTAGTGCGTTTGCAAAGTAGAGGCTGTTGGGTAAAAATTAAAGTGGAAAAATATAAAATATAATTTCATATATTAATCGAACCTCAATATATGAATTTACTGTTAAATAAAAGTGACCTCGGAAAGGTTTTACCCGTCAACATTGAATTCCATTCAAATACACGTTAATTTGGAGTAAATGTTAAAATAAAAAAAAATAAAAAAATAATAATAATAATAATAATAATAATAATAATAATATTATTATTATACTATGTACAACCATAGTTTGCTGCATAACATGAACATATATAAATATAAATACTGTAAATGATACCGCACATTGTGAGAGCGTATCGGTTTTTAATGCCGTCATAGACATTACTTTTCTTTCAGTACCTGACTTTAGCAAACCTTACATTTGCTTGTAAGTTAATAATTAAATATACAATTTAGGCAATTTAAAATATGGATTTGTTTTCATTTTTTTCTCATGGCAGACAGTATGTACATCTATAATGTACAGGTATATCAGCTGAGTAGGTTTTTTTTTTAAAAAAAAAAGCTTTCAAAGATTTCATATTCTTAACTATGAGAACACGGGCACACAATTAGTGCGTTTGCAAAGTAGAGGCTGTTGGGTAAAAATTAAAGTGGAAAAATATAAAATATAATTTCATATATTAATCGAACCTCAATATATGAATTTACTGTTAAATAAAAGTGACCTCGGAAAGGTTTTACCCGTCAACATTGAATTCCATTCAAATACACGTTAATTTGGAGTAAATGGGATTATATGCAATTTCAACTACATAATTTACTTATGTAAGTTAATAAACACATATGCATTAATTTCATTCACTATAATTAACTATATATAAATCATGGAAATCAATCGGTATATCATGCCAATCGTATTCATATTAAATTTAACATACAAAGAAATAAGTATATCAGGTAAATTACATCATTCATGGTTCATACCAATATACAATGGAATCAATCTGTTTATCATACAAACGATTTCATTCATAGTTAAATAGTATCATAAATTACCATATAAATCAATGTATTATTTAACTATCTATATAAATACATAATATAATATACCATGAGAATCTATCAGGTATATCATTCAAACGATTTTATATCATAAATGCATCGCTCCATAAATATTTAGTAAGGAGCAAATGACAAAAGTTAAAATGTACGGTACGTATTTCAACCATCCTGTGGTCAGGTGTGTTTAATGTTTCATGTTTTACAATTCACTTTAAAGATGTATTGTCCCTTGAAATGACAAAAAGTCATAAAAAATAATTTTACTTTATTTCACTGTAAAGGTATGAGTAAACAATTTTTATGTTCAACTAAATTACTTTTATGTTTCTTCAAAATGGGCAAATTAATTTCAAAAATTATTCATATGATTTTTTTAAATTTTGTTTTTGGTATTTTTAAAGGGACAATACATCTTAGAGTTAAGTCTGATGATGATCAATCAATGACAAGCTTTATTCTAACTCAATTGCTTCTAGACCAGGCTATACTTGAGATAGATGCAACTTGGAGAGGTAGAAATTCTCATGGTTTTTCTTATGGGGTGCCATACGCAGCAGAAGTCCATGTTATTGCAAAATTCAATGTCTAATTTATAAAAACATAGGCGTAAATTTCTCAAAATGTAGATCTAGTTTCCCAAAATGAAGTTCTAATTTATCAAAACGTAGTTCAAATTTTTCAAAATGTAGTTCTAATTTCTTTAAAATGTAATTCAAATTCAAAACATAGGTCTGACTCGATGAAACGCCCTCTCCAAAATCTATTCCAAAACGTAAATCAAAAACCAGCCTGGTTGGAAATGCATTTTTTTACAACAACACTAGAAATGGACTTTTGCTGCGTATGGCACTAGACTTGCGAAATGTAAATCAAAACTAATCAGCCAAGCATGACGTGGGCTTGTTCCATTAATGATGGGGGAATCATTTTTCGCTGCAGTCCAATGCCGTGAACAACGCTTCCCAGTGCGTCTGCTAATTTTTAATGGTCAGGGTACCGCGATCACAAGTTCAGGCCCGTAGGCAGGGGGGTGGGGTGCAGAGGGTGCGGACGCAACCCCCTCAAATTCCAAAAGGTACACTTTTTAAAACCTATGATTTCACAAAATCGTTCCTAATTATCACAAAATGCTATAGCATGCATTGCATTATATATTTTCCAGCGTATCTAACCGTTGATTTTTAATAATGTGGCATGAAATTTGTTAGAAATTGATCGTCTCCGGTGATTGCAGATTGATCTATATAATATAAAGAATGTTATCTATAGGCATGCAGATGTACATGACATAATAACGTTACTTTTCAGGTCACAAAAACACCAAAATTAATGAAAATTTTAATGAAATATTCATGAATTATGTGTTTGAGAAATCTATTATGTAAGACCATCAAAATGATACTTTGTCGCTTTTCTCACAAACCCCCTCCAGGCCTCTGCCCCTGGACCACTTGTAACAGGTTTAATGTAAAATGAGTTAGCTTGCCTTTTTTTTAAATAACGTAATGGATTGACATTAGAGTTTATATCTTTGCATAATTGTTGTCCGATGTTAATGAAATAATTATTAAACTGTTCTGGTATTATAGTAGGATCTGTAAATGTATCATCATTATGCTTAATGGTATCGGGAAATTTTAGCTTAGTCTTATTTGGATTTATAACAGAGTTTATTGTACCCCAGGTTTTTTTCATGTCCCCATGGCATTTTGATAATCCGGATATATAGAAGTCCCTTCTTGCCCTTTTATATAACTTATTATACACGTTACGATATTTATCATGGTTTTCTTTGTCCATGAGGTTTTGCGACTTTAAGTATTTTTTATAAAGTTTAAGTTTCTTTTTGCTAGATTTTAATAATCCATTTGTCATCCATTGTTGTTTAAATTTACTTGAATTTGTTAGATCTTTTTGTTTGACATAAAGATACATCGTGTAGCATAGTTCTCAACGAATGTTGTCCTTTAAATAAATACACTGTGTTAATAAAATGATTTCTATGGGATTCGAACCTGAGCCCTTGTTGTCAAGGCGAGCGTCATAACAATTAGACCACAGAGGCTTCATGATTTAACAGATTCAAATAACCGTCAGGTACATTGTTACACAACTGTGTGCCTCGAAGGGGCGTTAAACCAGATAAATCTTGAGGTACGGCTGGAATAAGAATAGTAACATATAACATAAATCAAGATATCCGTTAACACTGTTAAAATATAAAAATAATAATAATAATAATAATAATAATAATAATAATAATAATAATAATATTATTATTATACTATGTACAACCATAGTTTGCTGCATAACATGAACATATATAAATATAAATACTGTAAATGATACCGCACATTGTGAGAGCGTATCGGTTTTTAATGCCGTCATAGACATTACTTTTCTTTCAGTACCTGACTTTAGCAAACCTTACATTTGGCTGTAAGTTAATAATTAAATATACAATTTAGGCAATTTAAAATATGGATTTGTTTTCATTTTTTTTCTCATGGCAGACAGTATGTACATCTATAATGTACAGGTATATCAGCTGAGTAGGTTTTTTTTTTTTTTTAAAAAGAGCTTTCAAAGATTTCATATTCTTAACTATGAGAACACGGGCACACAATTAGTGCGTTTGCAAAGTAGAGGCTTTGGGTAAAAATTAAAGTGGAAAAATATAAAATATAATTTCATATATTAATCGAACCTCAATATATGAATTTACTGTTAAATAAAAGTGACCTCGGAAAGGTTTTACCCGTCAACATTGAATTCCATTCAAATACACGTTAATTTGGAGTAAATGGGATTATATGCAATTTCAACTACATAATTTACTTATGTAAGTTAATAAACAGTAACAGTTTTTATGGTTCAGTTTTTATGGTTCGGGCGAACCCCCCTGTTTTCTAGCGAACCCCCTCAAATTTTTGAATGAATCCCACTCGGACGGAATGTCTGTTTTTAACTTACCCAGCATTAAATCAACATTTAGCACCTAATTCATTATTTGGTCACCCGTTTTTAAATTCTAGACTGCGATGCAAGCCTTCATTCGTATCTCGGTTTCAGAAGTTCAGAGATTTAAATTGAACGCAACTCCGGCAAACCATGAATTTACGATGGCTCATATATAAGGATGGGCAAACATCGATAAAAATCCGGCTTCGGTCGTCTCAACTTTGACTGGCCTTTGCCTGAATGTTTGTAAGAAATGTACGGTACCAACAGGTAACGAAACCGGTCGCCGTCTACCTAGAGTAAATGGTGCCACTAAACGAAGCTAAAGTTTTGCGACTTAATCCACCAAATGCAGCTAAAGTTTTGCGACTTAATCACCTGATTCTGGACTGTGTGGTTAGTAAATTCCATAGCCATACTGTCCACAGCGCACACTAACCTATTTGCTGATGGAGCATTTTTGGGAAATTGACCCCTTTTTCCATCCCAAACAAAATATTATTAATAAGTCAACATATGGTCCATCTCAGTCAACATAGCCAGTCACAAAATTAGGAAGGTTGTTTTCAACAGCAGACACACACACAACAGAACGGAGTGCGTCAAAACGAGTGTTAATTTTAAAGAATTACGAAAAGTCGTAGAATAACTGACTTTTTTCGTCCACTGTGGCAAAGAAGAAAACGACAGATGGGTTATTTTCACAAAAACGTGATGCAATAATGAAAAAAAAGATTATTATTGTTCATTTTCAATGTTTTCCTATTCTTCTTTCTTCCTCTGCTTCTTCCATATTCTCGTTTAAATTTAATTTGTTATACTAAATACATATTTACGCATAATATTTCTATTATATAAATTTATATCATTTTAATACAGATTTACATATTTTCTGTAATCTAGAAATAGGTTTATGTATACTTTGTGTCTGTATTTAACATGTTTCAAATCTTTTGCTTTATTTAAATATCAATTATTATCATAAATTTTAATGATTAAATTATTTCATATAGTATTTTAAATAAATTTATCAACAATTGTTTTAAATATTTAAATATAAACTATGAAAGTAAATACACGTAGATTAGATCAATATAAATGGACATATTAGGCCTAGTATTCTTTATCTATTTATTAACACGAATAACATTTTCAATATTCTAATCAATTTTTATATAGCCGGAGTTAGTTTCGACCTAGACAAACCTTTGCTAAAAAGGTACACTTTCTCCATGAAAAGGCTTCTTCTATGAATGGAATTACCTGTTCGAAGCACGAAATCCGGTAGACCAAACCAAGTACCGTTACGATGTTTAGTCGTACGGGAAATCCACTCACGATGCAGTACAGTTACGATTTTTAATCGTACGGGAAATCCACTCACGAAATATTTTCTAATTTTATTATATTACCACCTTTTTATTACATAGATCTTTTTCAAAACATAACTGCTTTTATAACATTATATTGACCCATTAAACACAAAAACTGCTCTGGCTTCGGGGGCTTTGCCCCCGACCCCGCCGGGGCCATTAGGCAGGCCTCTGGACCCCACGCCCAGAGAACCCCCCCCCCCCTTGAAATGACCTGGCTACGGGCCTGTGTCTCCTGGATTTAACCATGTTTCAGTCAAAACACATAGATCAGAGTTATTTTCAAGAATGGTTTCTTGTAAGAATGTTGTTTTATTACATACAGAATGTGCATTAAACAAAAAACACTTTAAACCAATACTTGCATTAAGACCATGCTTAGCCCTAGGCCCATCAACTTGTCTTTTTCCTTGCCCTTTACGAACACCCTTTCCCGCACGACGTCCACGTCGTGTTCGTCGATGTATTTTCAGCTCATAGCATTGTTTTCACTTCACGAGCGATGTCCAGGTGCTTAGCATGCGATCGAATGCGTAAAAGCATTCCAGGTGAGTACTGGATAATGCTAGCTTGTTGTAGCCTAGGAAAATCAGATCCAAAAACATGGCCTAAGACAGCATTATAGATCAAAATCCAAGTCAAAAGTAGAAGGTACATCTTGATTGAAGAAGCACCAAAACAATTTTTAAATTGAGAAAATCGAGAATTGGCCAAAATTACTGAGTTTGGTGCAACTACTAACTTAGCGCACTCCTTTTCATAAATAATGCTGATGGATTTTTGCTGATTGATCACACAGATAATTTTTCAACCCAGCAAATTTTAAATAGCATCCAAAATCCTCCTTTTTGGAATGTAAGGAAATAGATAGTGCTTTTCCTTTTGTTGGATCGATTGTAACTCCTGATTGTAGCAACCCCAAAACGAATGGCACTTCAGAAATACAGTACAGTATACCAATTATTCTCTCAAACTTTATAATCTATCGTGTTGTTTGTGTTTTATGTTAACTTTATTTATTTTTTTAAATTATTTTATTTTATTATTTTTTTTAAGCGTACAGGTTTGGAATATTTTAAAATCTTTAAGTTAAATTATTTAAAGTTTTCTTTTTATTTTCAATGAAAAATAAATGCGATCTTTAACATCGGTCTTGGTACAATGTAAACCTGTAATCATATGACTACTTATACAGAATTTTACTATATTATAGGCCTAGACTAGGACCAGGCCTCCTACTATAGTATAGAGGCCTAGTCCAAGACATTGTTGCAAATCCCAACCCACATAAGCCTGGCCTATAATGCCTAACATATGGCTCGTGATCGCGGTACCCTACCAATAAAAATTAACAGACGCAATAAGAAGCGTTGTTCACGGCATTGGACTGCAGCGAAAATGATTCCCCCATCATTAATGGAACAGGCCCACGTCATGCTTGGCTGATTAGTTTTGATTTACATTTCGCAAGTCTAGTGCCATACGCAGCAAAAGTCAATTTCTAGTGTTGATGTAAAATGCATTTTAAACCAGGCTGGTTTTTGATTTACGTTTTGAACTAGAATCCATCCATTAACAACGGATGGATATCCGAGAGTTTTTGTATGAAATGTGGGATCCGTCAAGGATGCCACCTTTCAGCCTTGCTATTTGTTTTAATAGAATTAATGGCAATTAATATACAAAACAGCGCATTGTATCAAGGTATTGATCTACCATCATTTCATAAAACAGAGAATGTAAACATAGCTCAATTAGCTGATGATACTGTGTTATTTGCAATAGATAAAATAAGCATAAGCAATTTCTTTAAAGAAATCGAATAATTTTGTAGTGTTTCAGGTCTAAAACTTAATAAAACCAAAACCAAAGGTATGTGGATTGGTTGTAATAAAAAAAATTCCAATGATACATGTGGGATTACTTTTATTTAGGAACCAGTAAAGTTTCTAGGAATTTTCATCGGTTATGACAAGAAAATATGTAACACAAAAAACTGGGATGATAAGATGTTAAATTTAGAACAACTTTTAAAACTATGGGAAAAAAAGAGAGCTATCCTTCTTCGGAAGGATTACAGTAATCAAAATACTTGCTCTTGCTAAACTTGTGTATAATGCAAACATGATAAAAATGCCAGAATTAATTATTCCCAAGGTAAACAAAATTATATATAAATTCTTGTGGAATGGAAAAAATATAAAAAATAAAAAGAAACACGATCATTCAAGAGCTAAACAAAGGAGGTCTAAAAATGATAGACATTAATTATATGCTAGACTCACTCAAGTTAAGTTGGGTCAAACGACTTTTAAGTCCAGATCCCGGTAAATGGAAGTGCATTCCATGTTTTTATATGTACCCAGTAAAGTATACATTAGGTATGACCAACATAAATTTAGATAAGCATTTAGCGCTCAATAAAATGCGATCATGTTTAAAAATATATGATAAAGTACAATGGAACAAAATCGTTATTGGAAGCTATAGCGAAAGATTGAACGAAATGATTTCAATTTTTGACGTTTGTATTTATAAAGTTAAAATAATGAATAGATTATGTTTGAGGACAAAATGTCCTTGAGTGATGTTTTTATCTGAACTAAACAGACTAATTACATGTGAATTTTTAATTAATAAGGAAAAAGCAAAAAATAAATGGTCCATGTAAAAATATGTGATGGTTGACTTCTACGGAAGACACAATAAAAGAAAATGATAAAAAAATAAAATAAATAAAGAGTACAATAGTCGATGTCTGAACACCTATTATGAAGAACAGTAAAGAGACGTGTACTAAGTAATTACATAACAGATATATATTTCATACTATTATTTACTTAATATATATAATAACTGTTAAAATGTAGACTATATGTTATGTATAATATATCTACGTAGTTTAAGACATTATGATGAAATAAAAGTGGGACGATCCCACAAAAGAGAAAAAAATAATAATTGTTCGATTTAGTTAGGATACTATATACAAAACGGTACAACAACACGATTAACATATTTATTACGTGCTACATACTATTTAAATCAGTTTGGTCTAATTAAAATACCCTGTGCAAATTAATTTCGGAAAAATATAGCTAATATAAGAGAGAACAGAAACATTGCAATAAATATAAGATGAGCTGTTACATCATGTTGATTAGTAATTTGTCTTGTTCTTGTCGGGCTGGTGGTGTTCTCCCAACCTTTCATGATAGCATCTCTTGCACCTGCCCAAGTATGAGGTCCCTTAAGTCTGTACGATGGCGGGTAAGCTGGTCCGAAAAATACTTTAACAGCAAGCTTCGGGTCAGTTAGAAACATATCAAGAGTCGGTTTCACGCCAATATCATTGGCTAGTTCCTCTTGGTAGGGTACTGGAGCAAACTAAGAAAGAAAAATGTTTTTTTGTAAACATTGCAAAAAATCTTAATTAATTACATTTTAACCATGAATTTATCGTTAGGCCTGTATATGTACATTAAGGAAGCCACAGAATAAACAATCGAAGCTGTGATCCAACCGAATCGGTCCCCTAACCCCAGTTGGTCTACCTTTCCACACCCAAAGACCCCCCGCTTCAACCATTAATAATCCTGGATACGGCCCTGGCGAGCCAGTTACTTTCTCTTTTTTTTTTTTTTTTGATAGCTGAAGAAACTAGTATTAAAATCCGAGTTGAGTTGATTTGTTGTACAATCGTATTGTAATACTGACTATTTTACTTAAAAACGTAAATAACTTTGTAGTCAAATATTTTCTTGGTGACAACCGTAAAAAGTGTATCATATTTCTTCCTATCAATTTTTTTGGTATTGGCCTTAACTATTAAAAAAAATGGAATAAAATAAATGCTATATATAATCATTATAACCAATTATATACACCCTTTCTGCGGCGTTTCATTTTTCAATTAATCAGGTTTTTTTTTATTAATGTTAAACATTATTTAAAGATTAAATATTGATAAGTATGTTATAATTTAAGGATTACCTGTAATAATTTACCACCCCGTAGATTGAGTAATGAAGACTTATTATATGCCATATTAGTGACATTCAACACAGTAGTATAAGTTCAGTTCGCAGAGATTGGATTGGATTGGATTTATTCGGTGTAAACACCAAGGATAGCCCACGAAAGTCTAGAAGAAGACTTATTTGCAGTAGGGTCCTTCTGGTGGTGTTTGGGCAGTACACCGGGAGACAATCCTCTACTCTTTTCCGAAGAGTGTACTGCGTTCTTTAACGTGCACATGGGCCATAATGCACACGGGACCAATGGCTTAAACGTCTCATCCGAAAGACGGTGCGCTATTGTAACTTTATTTCAGCCCTCAAGCTGAAACACAAGGAGAGGTAGCGATGGGAATTGAACCGGGGACCTAGAGATCTCCACGGTTCAGCGAACACACAGCGGCTACCACCAGCTTAGCCGACTGAGAAACAATTCAGATACATCCAATGTCACATTGATAGGCGAGTATATGCCATGCGATGGGTGCACAAATAAAAAAAGTTCCAGCATACCGTATACAAATTGTTGATACACAGTGATTTGATTTGGATTAGGTTTGATTTGCATTTATTAATTTTTTTTTTTGCACGTGTACCTGTCTAAATTCAATGTATCCCAACTCTTTCCACACTCTTGCTCTGCTTATCTAATGCTTGTATTCATGTTTTTTTTTCTATTTGGTTGATGTCTCTAAATACCTATGTTGTAAAATCGTGTTGTAATACTAATAATGACTTTTTTCTTATTAGAAATATAAATGTTGATAAAAGGTGGTAGATCATATCATACCACAGTCAAGTATGGAGCCACAGTGATGTAGAAGTCGGATATTTTCTTAAAGGGTCAATCGTAAAAGGTGTTTTATATTTATGCCTATTGATTTTGTGCTGATGATTTTTGTTTCATTTGTGCATTGAATAAAAAAAACTGAGTATGTTATAAAGCAGACTATCACGTTAGATAATGTACGTTAGCAACAGATAAAATCACATAATTGATCAGGGATAGCGTATCATAGGCACTAACAGTATTTTCATGTGTTGGCCAATGAGGTTTTGTTTCTCCAAGACAAAACTATTCACCTGGATAATGGGATTAGCCTTTCTATATTGGCACCAAATCTATTGCATAGAAATAGAGGTATAACGAAACCTGGTTATAAATATTTTTAATATTAAAAAAATAGATTGTACTGAACGCTATCTTACCTTTATTTTTAGGTAGCCATATAGTTTTATCATTTTATCAACACGTTTTTTTGCGTGGATTTGACGAGCATTTACATCAGGAAGCTTCAATGTGCCTGAAAATACAGAAACAGTCCAGCGGGCTTGTAGCTCGTATACTGGTCCCTGTGAGCCAACGGCTCCGACGGCTCCAATGAAGGCAAGCGTTGTGTACTTCGGAGATAGAATGTGTTTGAAAAGCTCCATTTTTGTTTCTAATAACAAAAAAATAATCAAATAAAAGATTCGGCCAATTACAAAATAAACATAGTACGCCTACAAGAATTACCACAATGTAAAGGTAATACATTTCGTTTCATAAGTACCAAAAAGTATATACGATTATAATTAATATAATTACACTTAACAACAAACGGGCTAATCTTAATAATTCACATGAAAAGGGAAAATAGTAATAATTACCATCAAAAATTTCACGACTAATAAAGGGGAAGGATGTGTAGTATCCAGTTGCAAAGACGATTGTGTCAATATCTTCGATATACGTTCCATCAACAAACTTTACACCATTCTTTGTAAACCTTTCAATGTGTGCCTTCACTTTAAGAGTCCCATTGAGAATTCGATCTGGTAATAAGTCATTTACCATCATGCTTGAACTGAAGAAATTTTTCTTGTCTGATCTGAGGCTAAGATTATCTAGATCCATCCTCGACTCAACAAGACTGGTCAGCATTTTTGATCGTATAAATCCAGGAATCTTACATGAAAAACGACGGTTCGCAACGGTGTCAATTGGTATTCCATTCGGTCCTCGTCTTGGCAACACATAGCAGCCATTTCTGAGGCTGATGTATGTCTAAAAGACAAATAACTAAATAACTACCTTAATCATATCGCCTAATAAAATGGATTCAATATTTTAAGCGCCAGTTTTAACATAAATTTCAATGGGGTGATTATGCAACTGATTTATGGATATTTTAAGAAAGACTACATGTAAAATGTCAACAGAGCGTCTATCATAGGCCTACGTATTCAAAGTTTGTACCATTATGTTTGTTTGAATTGAATGAATATTTTGTGTACAAAGTATAACTAATATGTTACCGTATATAATTGTAGATAATGAAATTATAGTAAGGATTCTTACCGAATTTGTATGCTGACTGCATTGCGTAGCCAGATCCCCTGCAGAATGGGATGCACCTAATTAAAAAAAAATACAATTCATAATTAACTACTTTTGGCTACAATAATGTCACTATCGTAAAATATAGTAATGTTATAATACAATTTTGAATATTTTGTATTAATTATAAATTATTCTGGTATAGGAAAGCGTCTTGGTAGTATAATACATACCAACTACAAGTACATTCTGACCAACAAAATCTTCTCCTCTTCTGAATGTGTTGCTATGTATGATTTGACCTTTAAACTTGTCCATTCTTGGATATTCAGGGATTCTGCACTTGGAGTGCTTTCCCGTGCAAACCATTACGGCATCAAATACGTCAGTTTGTTCAACAAGCTGCTCTTGGTTCCTTTGTCGAACTGTAACATTCCATTGGCCAGTCGTTTTGTTATTTTCTGTTGGACTAACATCGACCACTTCTGTGTTAAATTTTACGTATTTCATAATATCATAATGTTCGGCATAGTCACGGTAGTATTTAATTACGTGATGAGTAGACAGATATGGCGGGTGTTCAGCTGGAAAGGCAAAGTCACTGAAACACATCATTTCCTTGCTGGAATTAGTAACAAGTCCATTGTACATGGCACTGGCCTCTCCTCTTGTGCCATTTTCACTGTAAATCCAAACGCCACCTGTAAAATACCATTCTTATTACTAAAATAAAAATCATCAGTATTATAATCATTATCATAGCAACGTTAAGGGCGATATTTATGTTTATCGTTTACTTATAGGCATTCTGGTCATATATAGGTATTTCAGTCGCCATGATGAGACTATATATATCACTAAATTTCTCTTTTCGTGTATTCAAAGGTTTTGGTCGTTATATAGACGTATTCAATTTATTAGTCCTTTTATATATATACAGGCCTATATATATATATATATATATATATATATATATATATGACACAATAGTACAAGGTCAAAAGCTAAGTTCATTTCTGTGTACATATTTCGCTTTTTAACAACGTTAGGACATCGATGTTTTTTGTCAATGTAGTAATTCTAAAATATTAGCTTTATAAATACAATTGGCACCTAGAGTATACACTTTGCTACTATTATGTTGTCTGTTCAAAATAAAATTGTTAATAAAAAAATAAAATAAAAATCAAAGAGAAAACAGGTCGTTGACGAACATTATGGAAAGAAATTCCCACACTTCGGTAAGCAGTTCTTGGCGTTAAGCAGAAATTTGGATATTAAATCGGATAATGATATGAAATTGCCGGTATCTTGACTTAAAATACCTGATCTAACCAAGTTACTAAAATAAAGACTTACTTTTAGCACATACTAGTTTGTTACCCCATAGTATTTGGGGTGTACGGTAAAAATGTCCCAAATGACAGGTAGGTAAAAATGGCCCCCAATAGTAAAATTCTGTATTAAAACTGATTTTTTAAAAATAATTATATGCATTTTTTTTTTCAAAAAATATAAAAATTTAGTCTTTAAAAAGAATTCAACATCAAATAAATAGCCATTTATATTTTAATTTTTGCAGGAATTACGGTACATATTCAAAGAAAAAAAAAACATAAGCCATGAATAACACTTTTTATTTTTTTTATATTTAAATGTTAAAAAATAGCAACAATTTAATCAATAAATCAACACAAATCATGCATTTATTAATACTAAAATGATTTATTTGTGGCCAATTTCACGGAAACGGAATCACAATTTTCCAGAAATTTAATCCGGGTATTGCTAAATCCGCAAAAATGGGTTGATATGAACATCAAATTATTTTTTTTAAGAAAAAGAGAATAATAATAATAATAATAATAATAATAATAATAATAATAATAATAATAATAATAATAAAATACTTAGCCCTAACAGCCGCCAATACAAAAAATATCTATTAATTAATCAATTAGCTAAAAAATAAGTTATTTTAGTTTTCAAATATGCATATGGTTTCTGTTGATTTATTAATTCAATTATTTTACAGCATTAAAAAATTATTTTTTTATTGAATTTCATAATTGGGGGCCATTTTTTATTTATTGAATCAATACTTGCTATTTTACAGTATTTAAATATTTGAAGATTTGAAAAAAATTCTTTTCTATTAATGATTTTTTTTCATTAGGGCCATTTTTACCAACTTGTCATTAAGGGTCATTTTGACCGGGGCCATTTTTACCTGGGCCATTCTTACCGGGGCCATTTTCCCTACATCTGGTATTTGGTTTATAAAATCATTATAGTATCCAAATGTCGTATTTGTAAATTGACAAGCATTATGTGAATGCTATGGCTTTTAAAACTGATAAATAAAAAGGTTATAAATTAATATTTTGTGGAACTGTTGAAAAATTGGAAGAAATTTGTATTTGACCTATCTTTTCAAGATAAAATTTAGGTAAAAATGTCCACTTTGACTTTTCTTTATCGTGAATACAATTATACCATTCTACTTTGAAAGCCAGCACTTGTGATCTGAAGTCAATCATTTTTAGACCACCCTCATTATATTCACCAATTATGGTCCTCCTTTTTATTTTTTGTTTTTGATATGAAATTAAAAACTATTTTTTCGACTTCATTGATGTCCTTCTCAGGTACATCTAGTATGCTCCAATTGTACATGATTTTTGAAAGTGAGGTTTTACAATTGTGATTCTTCCAAAAAAAGTTAAATGTCAGTTTCAGTGGATATTTCAACAAAACGTTTTAATAGTAAATACTTGTTAATTTTGTAAATTATTTTGATTTAAAAAAGTGGTGTTTTTACTTTATTTTAATGAAACCACAAGCAGGAAGCTGGCGGTGATTTGATTAGAACCGGTGCTACAACGCAATGTTCCGTTACAATAATTGATATATCATCATCATTCAACATAATATAATATAATCATTGTACATTGTTGAATAATATGTTAGATTTGAATAATTACAGTACCTATTTGAGAACTTTTCTCGAAGCAGATGGGTTGAAACTCCTCTTCCAGACAACTCTTGACTGATACTAGTCCACTAACACCAGCTCCAATGATGGCCACACGTTTCACAAATACCATGCTACTTTTCTGTATTAAACAGTCCTAAAAATTGTAACTGAAATTAATTAATAGAAAAACGTCAGTCAATGATTATCGCCACAGTCGTATTTCCCATCATTCGTTACATTATTGTTAAAAATGAAACTTTAGTTTACTACAAACTAAGTGGCCTAATTATTATTATATACATATATGAACACAGGAAATAATTATTCTTAGTCTGTCTACAAATTACAGTTATAAACTTTCATATAATATATGAAAGTTTATAACTGTAATGTGTAATTTGATATTATCAGAAATATACAAATATTGAGTTATATAAGATATACTTGATTTAATGAACAAGATGTAGACTACAAGATATTAGTTAAATACAATTGGCCATATTTTATCAATAACATTTAAACTATGTTAATAATGTATATGCCTAAAACATTGCTTTAATACTGCTTTAGAATTTTAGAAATAGTAAAATAAATCAGATAGTCATTTTATGCAATATATTAAATCAGGTTTTCTTTTTACTTTAACCAAATAAATATATGTGTGTTCTTAAAACAAATCTACTATCGGTAATGATACTGTCTACACGTACTGTATAACTATGTTAACCAAACTATTCGTTACACGAAATACACCAACTATCGTACTATACCACGACAATCACTTAAAAAGTCAACGTACTTACTCAGTCACCGATGTCAGTCTTTTGAATTAAGATTTGTAAAGAACCAGCTTAAGTTATAGTGATTATGGAGTGACGTACCACTCAGTATTCGGTCATTGACTGCAGTTTATTTGGAAAATTACTGTAACAAGTTCTCTGTATTATGATTGGTCAAAACTCACACAGAAGGCGATAAATTAACAATGATTTTTTTTATTTGCTGCAGTTATTTTTCTGTTGTTTTTTATTGGTTAGAATCTGCAGTTCTGTTGTATTAACACCATATCAAATAGTTCTTATAGCCTTCGCGCAAGCGTAAGTGGGCGTGGTAGGACATAAAAGTCACGAAGTAAAAATTCAGGAAAAATAACTTGATTCTATTCGATGCTATTAAAATTTGGACTTTAATGGTTAGGGTGAAGTTAAGAATTCTAATCAATGGGCTAAACTGGGCTCTGTGAAGGTCAGTAGATATTCAGTCTATCTGCCTTGTGTAAATTCCTTAAGTTGATAACGTAGATTGTAGACTGCATAATCATCCATTATACCAAGAGTGTAATTGGTTGTAATTAGACTTACAGTATATTTAAAGTAAAGTAGAGCTACTTAAAAGGTGGATGATTGAGGCGAGTCGATTGGACGGGCAGTTCAGGCAAGGACGCCGCAACCTACATCCATAATATCGGCACTGGCTCAAACGGCACGCTCGTCTAATGGTTCTGGAGATGGAACAAGTGTTGTATAACCCGTAGGCCCAGTGTACACAATTGCCTCATGTGCACTATAAGAAAACCCATACATCTTTCGACACAAGTAGAAATTAAGTTACCCCGGTGTACTGGTACATACAGCCTCTGTATGGACACGAAGAGAAACTTAGAAGAAAGCTACGCTTTGAGCGCTCTGTGTGATGTATGTATATATGAATGCAACCGTTCGGGAATATTTTTTCCATGATTAATAGAATAATTTATCAAAATAATTTTTGATAATAACATTGACCAATAGACACATTCGCCAGTGGTCCGATTTTTAGAGACCACAATGCTCAAAATGCATTGTTCGCTTCACTTATGGCTGCAAACTATAGCCATAATATCGGCGATGGTTCGAACGGCACGCTCGTCTATGGTTCTGGATGTGGAACAAGTCTTGTATAACCCGTAGGTCCAGTGTACACAATTGGTTCATGTGCACTATACAATACCCAGTACTGTACATCTTTCGAGACGAGTAGGGAGTTACCCTGGTGTACTGTTCCATACAGCCCCAGTAGGACATGAAAAGACCATTAGGGAGAAGAAAGCTACACTTGTAGTCTACTCTTTGAGCGCTCTGTGATGTATGTATATGAATGTAACCGTACGAGAATATTTTTTCTATGATTAAACAAACAATCAAAAAAATTCTCTATAACTCGTTTTTCGTCTGTGGCTTTTGTGGTTTTATTGTGAATGCACCGTATGACGTATGCCATTGATCGAAAAGTGTATATATTTGTTTTTTGTATTATTTTATCTGAAATGGTTACCACCATGTTTTGCAAATTATACATATGTTTCAATTGTATCCTTCAAAATAACTTTTAAAATATTCCAAAACTTTGAAAATAGTTAAACAGCTCTATTAATTCAGAATTACATCACTGTCTATCTATTAAAATGAACAAAAAAGTTCAACTAAGTTTGTAAAAAAATTCGACAGAACTTGGTCATTTTTAACATATTTTCAGTTAAGCATCACTCGTTTAACAGTGTGTGCTTATTGAGTTTGTTGTGTCGGACCTTTGTTAGGTCTTTTAAACTGTATTTCAATGTTTTATATGTGGTTTTCTTAGGATATTGACGATTTTCTTAGGACTTGCGCTTCGCATCGATAAAGGCGTGATATATGCGCAATGTATACCCAGTATTCAGCTTCCGTCCGGGGGACAAAATGCCTAGCGCCTGTAAACATCTTTGGAAGTATTGTGTGCATGTACTACAAAGGTGAATAGGTACAAGTACAATCGTTTAATGTCGGACTGAAAAAAACGACGACTCCAACACATCTTTATAATTTAACAAGCATATCATTTTTGAAAGCATAATATGCTCATTATCTTTTAATATTTTTTTTCGAAAATTTTATAAATATTCCTGCGCGTTACAATGCTGTAACCCCGTACAATAATTTACTACTGTATTTGTGTTTAATCCGTCAAATATAGATCAAAATTCATAATGTATGTCTTACTATACTGAATGGTTTTTGTTGCTGGTTGCCTTTTTTTTTTATGTAATCACTACACGTGACAAGTCATAACAATCCACTACCGTATCAGTCTTTGATACAGTACAATGCATTCGTCAACTGTATGGCACAACAATTCATTGAATTATGTACCATTCTTGGATGTCTCTGTTGGCTTAAACAATGACATCATCTCCACCTTGTTGTACTCAAGCCCACGAATAACTTTCAATATTTGGACTTATTAAATCATCCAGCCGCAAACGTACAATTTCTTCGCATTAAGTGAATCTGTTTTAATCCTTTAGATTACTACGAGTAAATATAGCATAAGGCATATGATTTTTAATTATTCAAATTACTCATCAAATCAACTTTTTACAAACCATCATTTAAGTCCTACGTGTAGAGCTTTTGTCTTAAAAACTTTAAGCTAGGAATTCATTCATTTCAATGTAATTCATTAGCCAACACAATTAAGAAAGATTATAATGCTCTCAACAACATTGAACCTTTCTTTCCTAATACTCCTGTTAGTTCTCAATATATGGTGAAAATGTAACATGTGAAATTATATTGGTGAGACCAGTACAAAACTAATCACAAGAAATCAGATAGGAGTAAACAATAGTTGTTTGTGAGTGACCACTTTTTCCACACACACACTATAAATAGGTTTTGTCAAATAGAGCTCTGTCCAGACTATAACTTTTATTTGATAAAAACATGCGACATCCTAAATATGATCAAGATGAAATCACATCATGATCATTATAAGCACATCATGTGTATTATAAGCCATAAACCAGGGGTTTTTCAAAGAAAATTTAGTGCGAAAGAGCTTTATGCCGTAAGACGTAAGACTATCTGTAGAGATAGACATTGCTCTGAGCATGGTGGACAGAAAGCAAATTATCATATCAGTTCACATATCAATGGAATCAATACAGATCTACACTTTGCTAGCTGATATACGTTTACTTGTCAATGGCAGACTGAACGGATCGTCATTAAAAACGGTCCGTTGCGTGTGCGTTGTGGCGTTGCATTCTTCATAGATTTGGGCGTCGGTCCGACGACCGTCGCGCGCATGCACTGTGTGTCTACCTTAAGAATTTAATAATCACTAATGATCGTAGCAGACTCTTTGTACTATAATATTCTCTTTAGTTGTGAGGAAGAAATTTCATTTGCAGTCATAGATGTCTGTAACGGATTCTATTAGTGTTTAATGTAACAGCGATCGAATCTCAGGCATTTTGCAAACTGTAAAATAACAATTCATTATAATTTTAGCGTGTTATAAACATTCAAATACAGGCGCAGCCTGTAGCCATGGGGGGTGGGGGGAGTTTATGGTTCGGGTGAACCCCCTTTTTTCTAGCGAACCCCCTCGAATTTTTGAATGAGTCCCACTCGGACGGAATGTCTGTTTTTAACTTACCCAGCATTAAATCAAAATTTAGCACCTAATTCATTATTTGGTCACCCGTTTTTAAATTGTAACCTGCGATACAAGCCTACATTCATAGAATATCTCAGCTTCAGAAGTTCGGAGATTTTTAAAATTGAACGCAACTCCAGCAAACCATGACTTTACGATGGCACAAGGATGGCAAACATCGATAAAAACCCGGCTGCCGTCTCAGCTTTCACTGACCTTTGGCTGAATGTTTGTAAGAAATGTACCAACCGGTAACGAAACCGGTCGCCGTCTACCTAGAGTAAATGGTGCCACCAAACAAAGCTAAAGTTGTGCGACTTAATCCACCAAATAGTGGATTGTGTGGTTAGTAAATTCCATAGCCATAGTGGCCATAGCGCACACTAAAACTATGTGCTGATGGAGCATTTTGGGGAAATTGACTCTCCCTTTTTCCATCCCAAACAAAATATTATTAATAGATCAACATGGTCTATCTCAGTCATCATAGCCAGTCACAAAATTAGGCTGGGAAGTTTGTTTTTAAAACAGCAGACACACTACAGAACAGAGTGCGTCAAAACGAGTATTTGTTAATTTTTAGTGGTAAACGTTGTAGAATATAACTGACTTTTTTTCGTCCGCTGTTGCAAAGAAGAAAACGACAGATAGTCCTTTAAGGTGGGTTATTGATTTCAAAATCAATTAACCTAGCCTAGATGTTGACTAGCTAGGTTCGCTCCTCGTTCATTTAGAGACAGAATTATACCCCGACGACAACAAACTAGTGTAGGCCTAGGCCTAAGTACAGTAGGACGTACTACAGGTACTAGGCCTAGGCTTTTGTTGTAAAAGTTGAACAGGATGCGCCATAGGCCTATATTTAAAAAAATACATTTTGTTAATTATTATTGGTTGGCCTGGGACCTAGGCAGGCAGGCCAGCTTTACCGTCGAAAGTCCTGGGATTCGACGATGACGTCAGTGCACGTTTACAAACACCATTGATTAGAATGAAAATAGACGCGCTGAATTTCGATTTTTTTTTAAAGAAAGATAGAATTTATCGAACATTTATATATATAAAAACAAGATTAATATTGTAGAAATTGTATTTCTAAAGATGCATATAATTCATATTTCATTTGGTAGACAATAAATATTCAGGTAAGATATACTAAAAACGATTAATAATTCTGAAATGGCATCAAATCTCAGCTATTATTAATCAGTATGTATTATGTTAAAGTCTTAAAATAATAATTTCGAATTAGGCCTAGTATATAACAAATAATTGTAATTAAAGTTTAGTTTCTCATGATGTCAGATGACGTATTGAATATGATGCTATATTTTGGCCCTGTCAGTAGTAATGACAATATTTGTGCTTTTTTTTAGCCATGTAGTAAAATAGTACTATTATTTTTAGTGTACAAAATGAGAGTCAAGAAGAAGTAGAAGAAGAAGAAGAATAGGAAGAGGAAGAGGAGGAAGAAGAAGAAGAATAGCTTTTTTTTTGTTTTATAATAATAAATGTGTTGAGTATATTGATATTGATTATGCGATGAGGTATTTTTTTATATCTTTCGGTGTGATTTAAACATGCCAATTCTCAGAAAATATTTTCTAATTTTATTATATTACCACATATTACCACCTTTTTAATACATAGATCTTTTTCAAAACATAACTGCTTTTATAACCCCCACCGTGGCCCTTAGGCAGTCCCCTGGACCCCACGCCAAGAGAACCCCCCCCCCCTTTGAAATGACCTGGCTATGGGCCTGAAATATGATGGAACGAGAAAATAATTCTGCTGGCTGTACACAGATTAAAATATCAAAATAAATGTCAGTACATTTGTTAAAATGAAAATTTGACAGCTGTGGTTATCAATATAATTTTACGATTCATGATAACTATTTATTATTCATTTTTTTATGGGTTTCAATGCGTTTTATGGACCGGTCACTACGACCATCATTACAATTTTACCCGTAGCCTCTTAGTATACTAAGGATATAATTTGATTTATAATTACAAGCAGGGAATAGTGAAATTGCAATTGCACAAGTAAATATTTTATAATAACACTGATCACGGATTAGATGAGTTACTAGTTTTAGGCGTGAAATATCCTCAAATTTGGCTTAACATGCTTAA